GGAGCTTTCATTCAACAATATACAGAAGAAATGTTGGAAACTTTGCCCGAATGCCAGAGACACAAACATGAAACCTTGATTTGTGCTCTCACTGATGTGCTCACAGAGACAACCACAAAAACAGACATGTTTGTTGCATTACTGAAATCTTTTGCAAATCGATTAAACTCGTGCGTGAGAACAGTGGTGGCCCAATCAAGCGATATTGACACTTGGAATTACTTTTTTAATTGAATTAAAATCTTATTTTACTTTGTTATGTTCTCGGAAAACAATTGTGATTCAGTTTGCAACACCCCTTAAGAGCAATATGTTAAAGTGTTTTTTTTTCTATCCAAATTGGGTCTGACTTGAGAAGTTAAATTAAATTCTAATGAAAGGTGTTTTTCTCCTCATGGTGTTTGATTTATAGAGTAATAATCACATAGCAATAATTAGTCCCATAATTGAAATCTAAATATACCAACAATAACATACTAGAACATTTTACTGGTTACTTATTTCTTTTTTATGAAATTTCCACTAGTCCACTATTTTCAAGGATACCTTCGTTAATTTCAATACAGTGTAACAATTAGTTAAATGCTAGAGAATGACAGATTATAATTATTTGTTTATTTTGTTGTTAAGCGAAAAGTTATGTAGCGGATGATCTCCTTTCTTCGTATGTATCTTTGTACCCCCTTCACTCATACAAATTGCTATTGCTTTAGAAAACGCAACCCTTAATTCAATTTGAACGACTCGGTAAAATAACTTGTTTATTTTTAACGCTGTCCTATGAAACATAACATAAAACAATATATATTTCCAACTAACATTTTATAGTTCACACAATTTGTATAATCTAAAACAACTTGCTATATTTCGTGCTCAGTGGCGTATCCAAGAATTAGAAGGGGGATGACCCCCCAGACTACGCAAGTGTTCGTACTATCCTTTTAATGTTAAGCAACTTTCTATATTCACCCTCAGCATTATAATGTAGAAGATCGTTTGACTTTTAACACCAACCATACAATACAAAAGAAAGCTTATATTTTTAAAATCAACTGTATAATGTAAAGTAACTTGTATTAAGCACCAGCTATTTAATATAAATACCTTTTTATATCTGATACCAGCATTACAATGTAGTTCATTCAATAGTCTTTTGTTTAAATTCACTTTCCTCTCAAGGATAAAGAACAACCATCGAAGAAGCAAGCAACCTTCGTCAATCTCCTGCTAACTCCCAACATGCGAAGCAAGACGTTGAACATCTACTTTAACTGGTAAGTGATTCTCACATACATGTATATATTACCCGATTAGAAGTTCTTGTGGCAACTATCTATTCAGAAGATACTAGCTCAACCACATTAATTGGAAAATATCTCGTTACACACTTTATACTTACACCTAACTTCATAACAATCACTCATCTAATCACCTCAATAAGGATATACTCAAAATACCAGATCTTCAAGATGTGTTACAGTGCAAATTTACATGTCAGTATTATAAATAATTATATGCAAGGAAACAGATTTTTACGTTACCATGGTAGTTATAATGTAAGCCATGTTGGTATGTATTAAATAATGTCAAAACGTTCTGCTCTTGGAAGTGTGTTATGCCATACTTTAACAGAATGTTTAGAATATATATACCCAAAAATATATATGAGTGGCATGAAAACATGAACTACTTGTTTTTTATAGGAGATAAATGAACATTCATAACCTTTAAGACACAAGCTAGCATTTATTATGGATAATTCGAGAGTCGTGAGAAGATGGCATCTCAAGTTGAAATTTCTGTGCGAAAGTAAACGCTATTGTCCCGAGCCCAAAGCTTTCTGTCAATGGCCCTGGCTAAAAGTACATTGAGTTAAATATTTAAATTAAAATAAATCATGTTATTTTCACGAAGCTACAAGAGTAACCACTTGTGACACATACCTGTGTTTAAACAGTTGTTCTTTTCAATACTTATATAGTGCTAGTTTTACCAGATACAACACAAAGCTGCTGAAATGTGATCAATGAATGTTCTTCTTATATGACAATATGTTTATTGCTAATAATAATAAAATAATTGTGTTTGTATTTCCCGAAAGTCTGTCTCATTGGTTGCTTTATAGTTAATAGACTGACAGAAACAAAAAGATAAATTTATAAAAACAGCTTTGATATGTTAGTTAAAATTATGTCAGCAGTTGACTGTCTTCATAGGTTTGTGAACTCCTTTGTCTACTATGGTTTATCCCTGAACACGAGTAATCTCGGTGGTAATCCATTCCTTAACTTCTTTATTGCTGGAGCAGTGGAGTTTCCTTCTTATGGAGCCTCGGTATTCGCCATTAAGTACCTAGGACGTCGCATTCCATTGATGGTTACAATGGTCGTTGGTGGTTTAGCATGTTTTCTCACCATTCCTATACAAGATGGTATGATCTTGACTCTTTCATTAAGTAAATCGTATTTCAGCATAATATATAAAGACTCTTTTAAAAAAATCATTAACCAATAAAACTATTCACTTTAGTGAATTCTTTTCTGATAAACATTTATAAATAATGTATTTCTACTAAATCTCTTCGGAGAAAACAACTTAATCTAGTAAAACTCCATGTACGAAAATGTTCGCCCCCAGTAGCACAGCGGTATGTCTGCGGACTTACAACGCTAGAATCCGGGCTTTGATACCCGTGGTGGGCAGATCACAGATAGTCCATTGTGTAGCTTAATTACAAACAAACAAATAAACGAGAACGTTCGCTCTAGTAATTATTTTTAAAAGGAATTGCTTAATCTTGTAAAACCCATTATAACCAATTTCGTAATCTAGTAAACACCTTTCTACAAAAACCTAAATTTATTTTAACCCTTTTTCGGAAAATTGAAAATTCCTTTTAAGAAAACTTTATAGTGAAACCTCTTCTTAATATATTTTTATCTGCCGTGTCCATACTGAGAAAATTAAGTTCTTTCATATGTTGAATTTCATCCCAAGCAATTTTCTAACAAAGTGAATTCCTTTCAATAAAACTATGTAATTTAGTGAATACATTCTGTAAAAACTTCTTAATTACGCAAATCCCTGTGTAAAGAAAGTTTGCATTTTAATGAATATCTCTGACGAAAACTTTCTGACCAAGAGAACCCTTTCCATTAATAATTTTATCCTAATGAATGCCATTCTAAGAAAACTTTTTAATGTAGTAAGTAAATTTTAAACAAGAAATATTCTTAATCTACAGAACATTTATCTACTCCAGCAAATTTCCTTTAAAGATGAGTTATTTTTTTTAATCTATTGCTAAACGAAGTTATTCTTATATCTAAACTACAGATTTAAAACATTATTTCTTACCTTCGGCAAAAATTTGTTTTTATAATATTTGTGCATTAAGTCTATTCTTCCTTATATAAAAAGTGTGGTTGAATTAAAAAATTACGATGTATTGTGATCGTTTACAGTATCCTTGCTCTAAATATCTGCAATTTCAACTAGCTTATTTTATTTTCAAAAAGATCTCTTATGGCTACGAATTACTTTGGCTATGATTGGAAAATTCTGCATTTCTGCTTCTTTTGCCATCATCTACGTGTTTTCTGCAGAAATTTATCCAACTGTGGTACGTAACGTTGGTGTTGGCTCCAGCTCTACTTGTGCTAGAATTGGATCCATGGTGGCACCGTTCGTCAAAGAGCTGGTGAGTCTGGACTCCACATCTACCTTGTTCAAGATTATGTAACCATTTTTAAATGCAACGTGTAAAAGTGTTTATTTTCTCTAACAATTATTTTACATATATCCAGCATGAAAAAATAACAATACATTTCATACAATTGTATGGACTCAACTAATAGGACATTGACTTTAGTCCTTTACTATCTTTCGGTCTGTTTAATATATTTTCTAACCTCTACTAAATTTCAGTGAGGAAAAGTAGCCCAAATGATTTCGTCTAAAAAGAAAACTAGAAAAACTAGGCAAGAATTAATTACCGTATCTGAAATAACGTTTAAGAGAAGAAAAACTAGGTGTCATTCTAAAATAGTTCAGATCAGACGAGTTAATCTAAAATAAAGATTATGAAAAGTAAAATCAAATACTTGAATTCAAAGTATTTCAAATTAAGCATCGACGTATGTGTGAAATGATGATTGATTAGTCTTACGTGTAAAACTTTTAGCCTTGTTGTAATCAGTGTTTTACAGAAATTTTACACATTAATATTTGAACAAAGTAAGGATTCATCAGTGTTGTGTCTAAAACTTCTAATGTGGTTGTATTATATGCTTCTACACCAATGTTACTCTATAGCGTTTGTGTGGAATCAGGATTTATCAAGCGCACTTTTAAAGTCTGTTACTTGTTTTGTTCTGTTTTATGCCAATATTATGATAAAAAATTTGCCATGCCTAAACACGTTGAATTGGAACCAGTCTTTATTTTTTATCATTACACATGAACTAATTGTAAACTTTGCAATCAAAATGTTTGATCTGAGATACTGCTCTCGTATTATAATTCAGACGATCTGTTACTCGAACGCTAAAAAGCGGTATTAAGTGCAGAGTTGCCAAACAATTTTTATATAACTTTATAAAGTTAAGCCACATTTAAATGCTACAAAAGACAGATTTTGATTGCATGAATATAAAGTGTTTATTTGGAAATATATTTTATTATAATATTCCGTTCAATGTTCCCTTTTTCCTATTGGTCTCCCGGTTGGACTGTGGTAAATTTACGGAATTACAACGTTACAATCTGTGGTTCGATTCCCCACAATAGGCACAGCAGATAGCCCTCTTGATCCAGGCCCGGCATGGCCTGGTGGTTAGGGTTCTCGCCTCGCAATCTGAGGGTCGCAGGTTCGAATTCCGTCCCACCAAACATGCTCGCCTTTTCAGCCGTTATAATCTTACGGTCAATCTCACTATTCGTTGGTAAAAGAGTAGTCCAGGAGTTGGCGGTGGGTGGTGATGATTAGCTGTCTTCCCTCTAGTCTTACACTGCTAAATTAGGGACGGCTAGCGCATATAGCCCTCGTGTAGCTTTGCGCAAAATTCAAACCAAACCAAACTTATTGATCCAAAATGGGATGTACATTTAACACATCTTCTGACTGATCCAACAGTTCATTAACAAGATTATTCCAGCATATAAAGTTTAAGAGATTTATCATTTCATAGGGAAAGGCCACCAATCAAGGAGTTCCTCTTGGAATTTTTGGAGGATTATCCATTGCAGCAGGACTTTTAATTCTGCGTTTACCAGAAACCAAAAACAAACCATTACCTGACACTCTAGAAGAAGGCGAGAAGTTTGGGAAGTAAGTTTGTGTTATTGTTTCATTTATTGTGCATTAAAAGTTGATCAGTAACTTTTTAATTATTAAATAAAAAGCGTGTTTTCTAGTTATTCAGTATGTTTAAATTACCGAAGTTTAGGGCAATGCATAGTTTGATCCCTGCCACTATAATTCTGACAGGAACTCGTTTCAAATTCCCATGTACAGAGGTTGAGTATGTTATATTAAAACGATTTTGGAGCTTCACTATGTCGTTACAGCTCATATTGCTTCGTCGGTTCATGCTCTCTATGAAAACTGTGCATCTTGACAATAGATTTGTAAAATACTTTCCATTGCAAAAGGCTCCAAATTACGCCATTTCTTCCTCTGGCTATTCATAATCCATTTAGTATATGAAGACTACATGTTTTAGCGCCCTTTTCAACATTCTGGTCACACATAAATCCATACGTCTTCGTAGGAAATAGCATGAATACTCTTTTCATTATCTAATTGCTTGAGGTATGATACCGTTGAACGGGTATGTCGTGAAAGCAGTTTGTGTACACGTAAGTTGTGTCGATTTTCAAGACAGAGATCCTTCTTAATTACGCTGTGTAATGTTGCCTTGGACAAGCGGGCGACTTTCCCCACTGACCTTTATGTTCGTTGATTCTAAACTGATAGAAGGTGCCACAATTTATCACCGTACGCTTGGGTGCGACTTCTCCCAGGTCTCTTTTTCGATGTTCATGGTACCCAAACTTGATTCAGATCTCTTTGTTGTCCAAGGATATTAAATGGAAGCGATATATATCTCTGTCTTGGAAAACGATCAATTTTCGTTAGCATCCACTATCTATAAAACGCCAAACAATGTCAAAATGTAAGTCTGTTACATGTCTTCAGCCTCAGCTTTATGCCGGCTGTGGTTACTACATGGTTTTCTGGTTTCCATGATCAAATCCATTTTAATATAATGTACGCAACACTTTGTTGGACTAATCCGTCTAAAGGAATCAGAAATCATTATAAATCAATATTTTCTACAGGAAGAAATACAACTCTAATGTTTTAAGGGAATATTGGAACAAGATGACCGGGAAGAATCTTGAACTAGAAAGGTTAGTCACTCATAAATATTATTAATTTAATTTAATTGTTAATAGGTGGTTTTTAGCAAGAGTTTAAATGAGTTTTTCCCCTTATTACAAAGTGTTTCTCTTTGTTCTTGAAATGATTGACTTCAAAAGTTCCTTCTTGTATAGTTAAATTCAGTATGTCACTCCTATACACAGAAAACCCTGTTTCTTCCATATAAACAGTACAGTACACTCGTATAAAATTAGCTACATGAACAATGTAAAACTTAAACATTCACACGGGAAATCATGAAGATTTACCACACTTTGGTTATGGGAAATTCAATAGATATGTTCCACTCTCATGCCGACACACATATATATAAAACTTTCACACAAGTAATTTGTACATATATCCCACATTCACAATTCTGGAGATATATATATATATATATATAACTTCTACAGATATTATTCACTAAAACACTTACCAAGCAGAAAATTATGTACCTAAATTCGACATCTAAGTAATTTTATACATAAAGAACCCTGCCATATTTTACCAAATGCCATCGTAATGGGATATAGTAAGATATATTTTGTTATTGTTTTACATCTGAAAATGTCATTAGCATCAGAGAAATTATAATAGATTTTAACTCTTCTTACTTTATTGGTTTTGTACGGATTTTATCATACGAAGTCGGTTACTGGAACTTCACACTCAATGTGGAGTAATACACACGAATGTATGTTTAAATCTTTACGTAAATAAACGAAAAGCTGTTTATCATCTCGCTGTTTATATTTCATCAAACTTCTTGGCGTCAATGCTTTCCAACAGACATCTATTTTCATTCGAACTGGTTTGGTAATTCGAAATAGTGTTGACAAAAATAGTAAAATAATAAGGTTTGTAAATATTTAATGTTTTTCTGTAGAGTAGGTAAACGTTTTAATAAGTATTTTTGGTGTAGTCGTTTATCAGTTACAAAAATGAAGTAGCGTGCGAGAAGTTTGAAACGTATCAAATATATTTATTAAAGAATAATGCTTATAATATTAAAATACTTATTATCCTCAGAAACAATTCATCCAAACATCCACAACTGGAGGAATATACCACCACAAAGATATAGCTGAAAGTGAACATAGCTGGATTTAAACGGTTCAAGACAATTTTCGCCCTGAAGGCATAGAGAAGGAAAATTATCTTTAGCATAAATAACTAAAATTTGTAAAATGATATTATCATTAATTATATTTAGGAGCATTCTGAAACAGCTTAGATTTTATTTAATCTTAATCTTATGATAACAGTGTACTGAGAACTTGTATTCTTATGATAACAATGTACTGGGAACTTGTGTGATCTTTAGCTTTCGAGGCGTTTTAATATGAAAAGAAAATATTATTATTATTGAAACTTTTCCAATGTTATTTTAAACTTTAAGCTTAACACTGAAGAACTAAATCAATTACATTGAAGTATTTGTAATAATATTTATGTATAACATAATATGAACTAACCAAGAAGGTGGATTTGTAACTTTAAACTACTGAAATTGTGAAACTAATCAACTATAGGTATTATTTTTTTATTACTTGTACATATTTTGTTTTAGATGAATGACTAAATGTATTTAAGTGTTACACAGAAATATTTAACTAGCATTAATCTTTGATGCTACAACACTTCTTTTGCTAAGGAAGAATAGTGTTATGTTCTTTCTAATTAAACACATGTAAACAATCCAACATTACCATTAGTAGAATCATCCATGTTGAGTTTCTGAAAGTGGTGTACTCCCTATAATGTTTCTAGTACTACATTCGAGCTTTCGGTTATACATAAATCACCTTCAGACACAAAGAAATTTCAATTATAATGTTGCGTCAGCAAGGTCACGTGACTAGTGTCACGCCACCTATTTTCTAGAAATATCTTGTTCCTTCGTGAATGCCCTAACATTTACTAGATATATGCTTGTCTGGTATATATATATATAGGACGATCAAAACGTGACGAGATAATGTGTGTAGGTAGTGAGTAACTGAACTGCAGTCAGAAAGTATTGTTGAAGAACGTTGTTATAGCGTTTGTTATAGAGCGACTGTTGAAAATAAGTGTATCGGTAAAGTTATATTCGGAAAGAATAAACCAGTTTTATTAAGAAAGGACTTGTGTCGCTAAAGTTTCGTGGGAACGAAGTTACGGAAAATCAACTAACGAACGGAGACGTAACAATAACCTCAAAAGTAAAGACGAAGCAGATTGAGTGACTCTCAGTTGTGGACGTAATTTGTGAATTCAGACTTTCTTTTGTTCTTAGCATTTTATAATTCAATGCATTTCCCAGTATGCCGTGACTTCATTGAGATAAATAAAATATGTTGTTACAACCTGCATACAGTGCATTTTCTTCTTTTTTCTACTGAATTATAGACGTCGCTTGGCCTGGTGGTTAGGGCAAGCGACTCGAAATCTGTAGGTCGCGAGTTGAATCTCGTCACTGCACATACTCGTCGCCGTTTCAGCTGTGGAGAGAGCGAGGATTAAAGGTGATTGGCGATCCCAGGGCAATTCAACTTTTCGTTGGTAAAAGAGTTGGCAGTGGTTGGTGCTGATTAGCTGCCTTCCCTTTAGTTTATCACTTCAAAATGAGGGTCGGCTAGCAGAGATAGTCCTCAATAGCTTTGCACGAAATGTAACCAACAACCAAATTCTCCCTTAAGGCGAACACGAGGACAACAACAACACTGTTAAACGCTGACGAGTTGCTTGGACTCTTTAACTTGAAATAACACTGGAAGTAAAAATATATAACAAAAACGTTCAGTTTCTACCTGGAACTTATTGGAATACAACTGGGAAAGTAGCGGAAAAATATATAGGTAATTGAGTACTATCTAATATATCTGACGTTGTGAAAACTCCACGGAAATACCTTGTACATTTTATGTAATTTTGTGTAAAATCTTTTAGTGTAATTCTATGGAAATCTTATGTCAAGTCTGTAATAATTCTGCATTCCCAAACTCTGTCTTAAATATGTCAATAAAGCTTCGATTTTCTGACACAAGAAAACAATGTTTCTTGTTAGATCAGCTAGCTAACAGAGAGTGGGAATCAAGGACGAGTCCATTAACAGCTGTTATCTGTTTCATCGATAAGAATAACCCAGCTCACCAATTAAAAGCTGTTATTATTTCTGTAAGAGAACAAGGCCTTAACTAGACTTCCCTTAACCACATAGAAAAAGTTAAACTTATAACCCTGTTAAACACGTCTGAGATCAATGGGGGTGGATTCGAAAAACAATAGAAATTTGATAATTAAACTTTTTAACGAAGAGATGAAAAAACATATAGAGTGTCTCCGTAGTACAGATGAAGGTAAAAATAGCATTTTAAGAGTATTTTTGTCTGCCATATGCACTGCCGAAATCTTTCATTTAGTTCCAAAACTTATCAGTTAGATTGGAAAATTATGGCAGAAAAGCGTATCTAAAATGCTATTTTATATGCAATACAAAATGTATTCTTACGGTTTTAAACGTCGAAAAACGATGAGGCACTGAAATCAACAGACCTAACACTAATAATATAAGTATTTATCCATTAAAATTTTTCTGCCTGAAATTTCAGAATTTATTATAGTCACACTTACCCACATCAATAAAATCTCTATCCTAAATTTCAATTATATATATTATGTAGTTTAATTGTAACGGTTTCCACTGAAGAAAGAGCAATTTATTTCCGTCGAAATGAATAAAAACTGACCATGTATAAAGGCCTAACAGTATGACAACATTCAGCGCAATTCCAGTAAAAACAGTGTGATTTTACAAATATATCGTCCCCTGGTGGCTCAGCGTTAAGCTTTAGGGATTATAATACTGAGTTTTGGTGCTCCAGAGATTGGAGATAGCCCACTGTGTAGTTCTGCGCTAAACCAAACAAAAAATATTTTGTGTGTATATATATTAATGCCGCAAAAGTTTTGCTGAAGTCAGTGTTCTCCTCAACTCTTATTCGTCAATAACATCGTATCAAAACAATGAAAAATTATAATATAAATGAGCACACAGAGCTAAAACGTGTTTGTGGTTATAGTATTGGAAATAATTTAGCTCATGTACTACTTACCTAGTGCATAAACAGAACCAGTATTGTATCTCATAAATATAAACTGACTAAGTTTGTAGCTCCAAAATTAAGTTCACTTTCAATATCAAAAGGAATTCTTTATTAAAGATTCTTTTTTCCTTTTACCCAAGAAATTCCTAAAATTCACTTGCTCTTATGGTGAACTTCTAATGGGCAGTTTGATGGTTGTTTGGTGGTATCGTATCTAGAACTGACACTTGTAAACATATTTCTTGGTTGCCATGAGACTAGATAGGTATCTCATGGAATACAAACCGTCTTAATGCAGGAGGTACGTCTCTGATTAGACATATGCCTTACCGAACTTATACTGAGAGTATGTCTCTGTCTTGACAGATGTCTCACCGAAAACAAATTAACTTCATACAACCGAATACAAACCGACTTAATACAAGAGGTATGTCTCTGACTAAACAAGTGTCTCACTGAATACAAACCGTCTTTATACAAGAGGTATGTCTTTTACTAGACACGTGTCTCACCGAATACAAACCGACTTAAAACAAGAGGTATGTCTCTGTCTAAACAGATGTCTCACCGAAAACAAATTATCTTCATACAACCGAATACAAACCGACTTTATACAAGAGGTATGTCTCTGACTAGATACGTGTCTCACTGAATACAAACCGACTTTATACAGTAGGCATGTCTCTGGTTAGACAGGTGTCTCTTTAAATTCAAACCAATTATATACAGGAGATATTTCTCTGTCTATACAGGTATCTTACCGAATACAAATCAACTTCACACATAAGGTTTGTCTCTGACTAGACAGGTGTTTTAGCGAATCCAAACCTACTTTATACAGGATGTAAGTATATGACTTGACAGGTGTTTTAGCGAATCCAAACCTACTTTATACAGGATGTAAGTATATGACTTGACAGGTGTATCATCGAATACAAACCGACTTTATACAGTAGGTATGTCCCTAACTACACAGGTGTCTCACCAAATTCAAACCAGCTGTATGTTAGAGATATGTCTCTGACTTGACAGGTTTCTCACCGAATACAAATCGATTTGATACAGAAAGTATGTCTCTGATTATACAGGTGTCTCATGGAATATAAACCAACTTTATAAAGAAGGCATGTCTCTGACTAGATGAGTGTCTCACCGAATACAAACCGTCTTTATACAGAAAGTATGCCTCTGGTTTATTCTTTTCACTCTTAAAAGAACAAGAATATAGACTATAAGCATTTTATAAAACTTTATTAATAATACTTTCAGAATACGTAGCTCAGAGTGGAGTATGATAGACATTTTGTGAACAAAACACCCCTTTTCAACAGGCTCAACTATAACATGGTTGTAGCCAAGTCCTGTCAGCAGCTGTAAGTAAATCTTGAAGAAAACGGAAATAAAAATCCTTGGGATAGAGGTTTTTTAAAAACTTAATTAATACACGAAATAATAAAATATTAGTTAAAAACAGACAAAAATAGTTGCGTAAACTGAACCGACTGTGAAGCTATCACATAATCAATACTTTCATTAGTCATCCTAGTGATGTAATATTTAGTTTTCTATTTATATTTTGAATGAGACTGAAATGGATAAGTTAATAAATATCTTAAAATGTGATATTTTTCCTTTACAAATTTAATTTCATAATTATCTTTTACCTTTTTGCACAATTATTACACCAAGTTTCAAAACAAAAATAATTATTTGGTGGTTATGAATCATTTCATAGTATTAGAACACAAATAACTGGTATTTTATCATCTTTTGGGAATTGTAACTCTTGTTACTTAATACTGAAAATAGAAGAATTGATATCAGTGTCAAGTTTTAGTAAAAATCTTATAACATTCATAATGAAATCTAATAAAGAAAATGGTACAGTTATATTGAATAAAGTAGATTATTACTATGAAACGTAGAATACCTTGAATTATGCAACAAAGTTTATTATGTTGAAAATAGATCCTACACGAATTATAGAAACCGAATTACAGAATTATCCAAAGAAACTTAAAAGGGATAGTGTATTAACACCAGAAGAATATTTTAGTGTAAGACCATCTGGTTGTCATCCAATTACTTTGTATGAGGTTTCTAAAATATATAAAGAAGGCTGTCCAGTTAGATGTATAGTGGATAAAATAGTTCAATATAATCACGAATTAATGTTTTGTTGTTGTTGATTAAGCTTCTTGAAGTGAATCACATAGTGAATATGCCATTAGATGTAAGGGAGATCGGGGCTGGTTGACACAATTCCGATAACTATATATGCTGAAGTTGGTAGCTGTGATATCATGACTACTAACGCGTCCAACACTCGTCACTTGCTGTTTCAGTTTCATCGTGATCGGAAGCCTCCGTTTTGTGCAGGAGTAAAAACTGAAATTTTACGTTCGAAATAATTAAATATTTTATTCTGCAAAGATTTTGTTGTTATATCCAATACTTTGTTAAGAGAATAAAGTATCTCTGATTTAATTTAATCAGTGTCAACTTATCCCAGAGCATGTGCCACGTATTCGGGGTAGGTTGGCTCACAGGGGGGTTAGGGCGTTTGACTCGAAATCTGAGAATCACGGATTCGAATCCCCGTCCCACCAGACATGTTTGCCCCTTCAGCCGTGGGGGCGTTATAATGTGACGGTCAATCCCACTATTCGTTGGTAAAAGAGTAGCCCAAGAGTTGGCGGAGGGTGGGGATGACTAGCTGCCTTCCCTCTGCTCTTT